CGCCACGTGGGGAGGGGCGCGAGGTCCCCCGGTCCCTGGGCGGCGCGGCCCTGACGCGCGCGTTTTCCCAGGGGCCCCTCGCGTTGGTTCGCGCGGGCCGGTGGGGCGGCCGGGGTCGTGCGGCTCAGCCGCGTGCCCGTGTGTCCGTCCCAGGGCCCTGCGGCCGCCGAACCGTTTCGACGACGCGCGTGGTGGGCGGCAAGGACTCGGAGCTGGGGCGCTGGCCGTGGCAGGGCAGTCTGCGCTTGTGGGGCGCCCACCACTGCGGCGCCAGCCTGCTCAACCGCTGCTGGGTGCTGTCGGCCGCGCACTGCTTTGAAAAGTGAGTCTGGGGGCGGGCGGCCCTCCGAATCGGGGTTGGGGGGACGCGTCTTCCGGGCCTGACGCGTGCGGATTAAGCTCTCTTATGCTCCCGAGCCCCGGGCCCCGCTGCAGCCACGTGAGAAAACCCGGTTCCGTTTTTTCCAGAGCGTTCTTTACAGCATTCCCGTGCCCTTTTGTGTCGTGTTCTTTGCTGTCTTCTCTTCTCCCCGGATGGCAGCACCAGCCGCCCCCTCCTCATCCCACCACCCCCCGTGCAGGTGCACCACGGGGCGGACCGAGGTGGGAGAGCTCTGGGCACAGAGCCTGGCCTGCCAGGACCGTGGGCTCGGGGAAGCTATTTTGACCGCACCTGCCTAGTCCTGTGCATCTGTTCTTTTTTTTTTTAAGTTTTAGAGAGCGCGAGAGCGCGCACAAGCACAATGGGGGGAGGAACAGAGAGGGGGAGAGAGAGAGAATCCCAAACAGGCTCCAAGTTGAGTCTGCCCGATGCGGGCCTCAAACCCACAAACCTTGAGATCGTGACCTGAGCCGAAATCAAGAGCTGGACACTCAGGCTGAGCCACCAGGGTGCCCTGTTCATTGTTTTTTAGGATTGCTGTGGGAGGTGACAGGCCGGTTGAGTGACCAGCCAGATCCGACCTCAGGGAAAGGCCCTTCCTGCCCATCCCCGCATCCCCCGGTCCCCGGGTTCTGGGATTTTGGCCCATCTTCTCTGGGCTGCCATCATTTCTACACTGGGCGCAGTGGCCCGTGAGAGGAAGCGCTAACCGTGTCCAGGATGAGCCCTAGCAGCACCCCTGCGGCCCCGCCTCAGGGAATGTCTCCCCTCCCCCTTGCGTGCTCAGGGGGCGCTCCCTCCTCTGAGGACCCTTACCTGCTCTCTCCTCCCTCGCCAGACACAAAGATCCCTCGAAGTGGACGGCTCAGTTTGGTGAGCTGTCCTCCAGGCCAACTTCCTGGAAACTGTGGACCTTCTACCATCGGTACAGGGTGAAGGATATCGTCGTGTATCCCCAGTTCAGTGGGACTTCACTCAAGGACATCGCCCTGCTGAAGCTGTCCTCCTCCGTCACCTACAATAAGTACATCCAGCCCATCTGTGTTGTGGCCTCTTCCTCTGAGTTCCAGAACAAGGCTGACTGCTGGGTGACTGGCTGGGGGCACATCAAAGAAGGTCAGGGTGAGGCTGGGGGCAGGTGGGGGGTGGGGCGGGGGGGGCTGCGGGCTCCGCCGTCTGTTCCGTCCACAGCGGCTTCAGCAGCCCCCACCTGGGTCTCTGTGCAGCTGGGTCCCTCCTGGGGGCTGCCCAGCAGTGCCTGCCCCCCCCCCCCCCCCCCCCCCCCGCCAGGGCAGGACCTCCTGTCCCCACACCCCGTTCCCTCTGCCTTCCAGAGATTGTGAGCCCGAAGCCACAGTGAGAGGGAGGCCAGCTGGGCCCGGGCTGCTTTCTGTCTCGGGATTTCCGGACTGTGGACATTTCATAGAAATAGAGTCCCACAGCGTGTGGTTTTCTGTCCCTGACTCCTTCACTCAGCATATTCAAGGTTCGTGTGTGGTCTAACACGTACCTGTACCCCGTTCTTTGAGGTTTAGTTCACGTAATGTTAAATTAATCATTTTATTCCTTTTTTAAAAAAGTTTTTACAGTTTTATTTATTTTGAGAGAGAGCGAGCGAGTGAGAGCATGAGCGGGGGAGAGACATAGGGAGAGAGCCCCCCAAGAAGGCTCCACACCGTCAGTGCCGAGCCGAATGTGGGGCTCGAACCCACGACCACGAGATTGTGACCCAAGCCAAAATCAGGAGTTGGACACGTAACTGACTGAGCTGCCTAGGTGCCCCTAAATTAATCATTTTATTGTTTTTTTAAATTAATCATTTTCAAGTATACAATCCCGTGACACTTAAGTTAGTATGTTCACGGTGTATAACCATGAACTCCATCAAGTTCCAAAACATTTTCATCCCTCCCAGAGGAAATCCGACAGTCACTGACCAGTCACTCCCCCTTACCCTCTCCTTCCGGCCCTTTGGCAGCCACTAAGAAGCCTTTTGTGTTGATGGATATACCCATTCTGGATTTTTCAGGTAAATGGATTCATACGTTATGTGACCTTCTGTGTTTGGCCTTTTTCATGTAGCGTGGTGCTTTAGAGATTCATGGGTGTTCTAGTATGTATCAGAGTTTTCTTCCTTTTTATGGATGAATAATAGTTCATCCTATGGATAGACCACAATGTATTCATCCATTCTTCCATTGATGGACTTTTGTGTTGTTTCTGCCTTTTGGATACGGTGAATAGAGCTGTTATGAACATTCATATACAAATTTTTATTTGAACACCTCTTTTCAGTTCTTTTGTGTATATATCTAGGAGTGCAATTGCAGAATCACGTGGTAATTCTATGTTTAACGTTTTTTAAAATTTATTTTCAGAGAGAGAGCAATCGGAAGGGCAGAGAGGGAGAGAGAGAATCCTAAGCAGGCTCTGCACTGTTCGCACAGAGCCCGATGCAGGGCTCAATCTCATGAACCGTGAGATCATGACCTGAGCTGAAATCAAAAGTCGCACACTTAACCGACTCAGCCACTCAGGCGCCCCTGCCCATTTTTAATTTGAGTTGTCTTTGTTGTTGAGTTGTAATAGTTCTTTATGTATTCTAGATACTAAACCCTCATCAGATGCACGATTTGCAAATATCTTCCCTCATTGTGTAGCTCTCTTTGCTGCACTTTCTTGCTAGTATCTTTTGATGCACAAAAGTTGCAAAATTTTGATCAACCTCAAATTATTTTTCTTTCGTTGCTTGTGCTTTTGATGTCAGGTCTAAGAAACCACTGTCAGATTCAAGATCATGAAGATTTACTTGCATGTTCTTGCAGAGTTTTATAGTTTTAGCTCTTATATTTATGTGTCTGATCCATTTTGAGTTGATTTTTGTACATGGTGTGAGGTAGGGGTCCAACTTCATTATTTTGCCTTTAGATATCCAGTTGCTCCAGCACCGTTTGTCACAGAGACTCCTCTCCCCAATTGAATTGTCTCAGCATCCTTACTGATTGACTGTAGATGTGTGGGCTTATTTCTAGACTCTGAATGGTACTCCATTGGTGTGTATGTTCATCCTTGTAGCAGGACCTCATTGTCTGATACCTGTAACTTTATAATATATTGAAATCAGGAAGTGTGAGTCTTCTAACTTTGTTCTACTTGTTCAGTAGTGTTTTAGTTATTTGGGCCTGTTGATACTCCATATAAATTTTAGGGCCAATTTGTCAATTTCTGCTAAAAAGAGCATTGGGGTTTGGAAAGGGATTGCATTGAATTTGTAGGTTGCTTTGGGGAAGCATTGCCACCTTCATTATATTATATCTCCAATCCATAAATAAGGGATATATTTCCATGTATTCAGGTCTTCCGTTTCTTTCAGCAGTGTTTTGTAGTTTTTGTTAATGAGTCTTTGATCGCCTCAATTAAATTTATTCCTAACTATTTTCTTATTTTTGATGCGTTGTAAATGAAACTTCTTTTTTTTTAATGTTTATTTATTTTTAAGAGCGAGAGAGAGCACAAGCAGAGGGTGGGGAGAGAGAGAGGGGGAGACACAGAATCTGAAGCAGGTTCTGGGCTCTCAGCTGTCAGCATAGAGACCGACACGGAACTCGGACCCACGAACTGTGAGATCGTGACCTGAGCCAAAGGCCAAAGTCAGATGCTCAACCAGTGGAGCCACCCAAGTGCCCCAGTAGAAAAACAGACTTTTGTGGTTTGATCTTGGGTCCTGTAATTTTGCTGACTTCATTTATTAACCCTAGCCCTCTTTAAATGTATTCATTATGATTTCATGTATACACACACACGCACACATATATATATATGTACGTATGTATGTAGATATGGATGATCATGTCATGTATGCATAGAGATAGTTTTACGTCTTCTTTTCCAATTTGGATGTGTTTTATTTTTCTTGCCTAATTGCCCTGATGGGAACTTCCAGAAAAATGTTAAATAAAATGGCAAAAACTGGCATCATCATCTTGTCCCTGATCTCGGGGAAAGCTTCCCGCCTGTCCCCATTCAGTGTGATGTCCGCTGTGGGTTTTTCACATCTAGTGTTTATCGTGTTGAAAAAGTGCCTTCTATTCCTACCTAGCTTATTGAATGTTTCTCTAATGAAGGAATTTGGATTTTGTCAACTGCTTTACCAGCATCCGCTAAGAGGAGCCTGTGGGTTTTTTTCCTTCATTCTATTAATGTCTGTAGTACATTATATTGATTGGTTTTTGTATGTTGAACCGCGCTTGCATTCATGGGATAAATCTCACTTGCTCGTGGTATACAGTTCTTTTGCTATGCTGCTAGGTTCCGTTTGCTAGCGTTTTGTTGAGAATGTTTGCATATATGTATTTTTTGTATATATACCTTTTGCATATATATATATATATATATACACATATTATTATTACTGTTATTGCACTAAGGATATTGGTCTGTTGTTTCTTTTTCTTGCGATGTCCTTGTCCGGGATTTGGTGCCCCCATAATGCTGGTCCCATGGAATGAGTTAGGAAGTATTCCTTCTTCTCCGATTTTTTGGAAGAGTTTAAGAAGGATTGGTGTTCATTTCTTCAGAGGTTTGGTAGAATTCACCACTGAAGCCATATGGCCTAAGGCTTTTCTTCATTGTGAGGTCCCTGACTACAGATTTCATCTCTTATTGGTGTGTTCAGACTTTCTGTTTCTTCCTGAGTGAGTTTTGGTAGTTTGTGTTATCTAAGATTTTGTCCATTTCATCCGCCTGATCTAATTTGGGGTATAGCTGTTTCCCTTATAGTCCTCATTATTGCTATAAAGTCTGTAGTTATGTCCCCACTTTCATAATCAGTTTTGTTGATCTTTCAAAGAACCAAGTTTTGGTTTATCTGTTGATTTTCTCTATTTTTCTATTCCCTACCTTGATTTCCTCTATTCTCTATTATTTCTTTCTTCTACTTTTTTTTAAAAATTTTTTTAACGTTTTATTTATTTTTGAGACATGGAGAGATAGAGCATGAACAGGGGAGGGTCAGAGAGAGGGAGACACAGAATCTGAAACAGGCTCCAGGCTCTGAGCTGTCTGCCCAGAGCCCGACGTGGGGCTCGAACTCACAGACTGTGAGATCATGACCTGAGCCGAAGTCGGCTGCTTAACCGACTGAGCCACCCAGGCACCCCTCCTTCTACTTTTGAACTCAGCTTGCTTCTAGTCCCTTAAGCCGTAAATCAGGGTATTGGTTTGAAATTTTTCTCCTGTATTATTGTGGACATTTCCAGCAATACGTTTATTCCCTTCTGAGAACTGCCTGCACTGAATCCCGCAAGTTTTGCTGTGTCATGTGTTCATCTTCATTCGTCTCAAAGTGTTTTGAATTTTTCTTTCATCCATTGGTAAAGAATATGTTGTTGAATTTCCACATATTTACAAATTTTTCAGTCTGTCTTCTTTTATGGTTTCTAACCTCAGTCCACTGTGGTTGGAGAAAATGTTTTGTATGATTTCAGTCTTTTCTAGTTTATTGCACCTTATTGTGTGGCCTGACATACCGTCTATCCTGGAGAGTGTTCATGTGTACCTGAGACGGGTGTGGATTCTACTGTTGGGGCAGATGGTTCTGTAAACTTCTGTTAGGTCTAGTTAATTTATAGTGTTACTCAGGTCTTCTGTTTTCTTGTTGATCTTTCTGATTCTATTCATGATTTTTTTAAATGTTTATTTTAGGGAGACAGAACACAAGCAGGGGAGGAGCAGAGAGAGAGGGAGACACGGAATCTGAGGTGGACTCCAGGCTCCGAGCTGTCAACATGAAGCCCAATGTGGGGCTCGAACTCATGAAACCGTGAGATAGTGACCTGAGCCGAAGTCGAACATTCAACCAGCTGAGCCACCCAAGTGCCCTTGATACTATTCATTATTAAAAGTTGGGTATCGGGGCGCCTGGGTGGCGCAGTCGGTTAAGCGTCCGA